TTTAATATTCAGATAAACAAGTTGTTCATCATTCAGAAGAGGGACTATTCATATCCTTACTTCCTTTGTTCAGTTCAGTTATCAGTTATCAGTTATCAGTTATCATTTAAGTTTCAGTTTCAATAGTTATCATTTCAGTTATCAATTATCAATTCTCAGTTATCAGCTTAGTTTCAGTTTCAGTATTTATAATTCTTTCTTTCAGTTGCTTTACATACCAGTACAATTCAAATGTACTGACATCCCTTTTGCCCGGGGCCTGCATCTCACGATGCATGTAATGATTTACAGGTTGATGATTTAGAGCGCTAGGATTCTCGTACCAGCTACTTGGTGATCCCCAGTTCTTCCGGGGCATTATCATTACCTTACAGTCTTCAGTATTTTCAGATAATCAGTGTTTTTAGTACTTCATTAGAGGCTTCATAGACTAGAGTAACAGCTAGACAGAGTCGCAGGCTTTTCATGTTAAGCTATGTGGGCTGCAAATATGTATCAGAATTGAATTAGTATTTCCGCATTCAAATTTATATCATCCAGACTTTTAGTATATCAGCATGTGTTTGTTTATCTTCCGCATTTAGTATGTTATGATATCGCATGTTGATTTAGCCAGCCAGTTGGTTCGCTCGGTCGCATGTAGTCAGGCACCGAGTACCGTGTTACATCCAGGCCCAGGTTCGGGGCGTGACACATCTGCTGACAAGTCACTTTTCATATTGACCAAAAGGATGTTTCCCATCACCATCCCCTTTTTCTTCCGTCTTTCGCAATGCTAAACTCTCTCTCTCTCTCTCCATACATACATACATATATATATATATATATATATATATATATATATATATATATATATATATATATATATATATATATATATAACCTAACATCCATCTTCTTCTGCTGCTTCTCTGTGTTGTCGCCAGTGATATATCAACTTTGGTTTGGGGGTGTGGATCCAGCTCATAGCAGAAGAAAGACTTTACTTCAAACGTTTGTAGCAATATCTTCTTTTCACTCAAAGATTTGGAACAACTATTTGTGGTTCTATTCCTTTATTTCATCTTCCATATTTTTCTTTTTGGGGCTATGTTGGAGCTTAGATTTATGTGGTGAAGAACGGGAAAAGTGATTTTTTTATAAGATGATGATAGGATACTCTCCGGCCACTCCAAAGAAGTTTCTAAAATCCTGGGGAAAAACTAACATGAATTTGAAACGTGGTATTTGTGTATAATTGATATATATAATGTTCTATTTGAGCAGCCCTGAGTTCAGTAATATTTAAAGGCCTTTTTGTGCCTCATGGTGGGCTTGGATCAGTGTTTTCAAAGGCGCGCTTAAGCCCTGAAGCAAGGCTCAAAACATGTTGAGCGCTTCCCCTCGCTTTGTGGGCACTTTAGTGTCGCATCAAGGCTCTAAGGCATACTTTTTTTCCTTGCCAATGAGTGTAATTCTTATCAGCCGCTCCACCAAAGTCACTTTCATGAGCTACGAAACATCCCTTTCCGGTAAAAGCAAATCCTACTTCTCTGCCACAGATGTCAAGCCTATTTACCTGCCACATGTTTATATGTTAGCAAAATAACTATGCTAAACATGCCATAAATTAGCAAATTGAACCAAGAAGGGATTTTTTCTATTTCCTTGTGAAGAAAAGAAGACAAGAACAAATTAACACAGGAATAAATAATGACTGGATTGATCAGGTGCTTGCAGGTTGCAGTAACTTAGACAGTCAAACAAAACAAGAATCAGAGGGAGGCACTAAGAAAGTTTCCGCAACAACATTTTGTAAAAAAATTTAGCAGAAAATCTCAATGCAGAAGCAGCAGTAGAGACTGCAACATGAATGTGGGATGGGATGGCAATGAGACAGGTCCGGCCACCCACAAATGAATGAAAGTGGAGAGATACTTAGCACGTCAATGTTGTTTCTGTTTCTTTTTATTTAGCAGCATATCTATCACCAAGTTCGGCTCAACTTAACAGAATTATTCTAGACGTCTTCTATTAGTAATTTTCCGTGTTAAACCTTTCTGATTCTTAACAAACTATTATGCTTTGATTAAGATTTCAAAAACTAAATTAAATCTAGTGAAACATCAGATTAGATTGTAATATTGAAAACTCATCTTGAATGCATAACATATCAGCATTCATTACCCTGTCCCCGGCAATACCCTGCGCAGAAACTATGCAACTTCATTTTGATTACCTGTCCAACTATCATTCAGAAATTTCAGTTTTCTTTAACTATTACTGAGCAAATTGGATAATGAGTTTTGGAACATAGGGAATAAAATGGCAAAGAATTAAATGCTTACTTGGACTGCCTTGGAAACCAGATGCAAACAAAAAAATCAAATTTGAGGACACTCATCTAGCTCAACTATATAGATGATTAAATACTAAAAACTAACATAACAGAACTTAAGGCTAGCATATTTTTTGGCTTACCAGGGTTGGGGGTTGTTGGGGTTGGGGGGAGGGGTGTGGTGCGCGGAGGAATGAAAAGAAATATGTTACTTCAAGCGATTCAAATTTTTACCATCAGTTTAGAAAAGGAACAGAGGGGCTGATGCAGCGTAGTCCAGTCATTTTAATCAGACTTCACAGGTTAATTCATACACTAGAGTTTTGGATGACTAAAGATTTCCAAGAGAACTGCAAATTTAAAGATCTAATAACCCCTCACCCCCCGACCCCACCCCCACCCCCGAAAAAAACCCTAAACCACTGTGGAGTTAG